AATTGTTCTTGCAAGAAAGCGAAGAATATGATATAGATATGGTTAGCACTACTGTCTTACTCGTAATCGCCCTATTAATTGTCAACATAAAAATTTTAATTTTTTAATTTTTGACACGTGACTGTCAAAAGCTACGTATATTTAACCATATTTAACTTATTTTATTTCGTTATTTAGAGGCCAATTCTGGCTTATAAATTTCAATAAAAAGATCAGTAAATATATAAGAGAGTTGTTATAATAATTATTTTTTGATTTCAGACATAATTCTCATTTATAAAGGAAAATATTTCTGCTGCGTCGTTATCAACTGTCAAAACATACGACTACAAACAATTGTTTATCAGTATGGAATAAATCCAGGGAAGTAATGTGATAATATTTTATTTATAGAGTAAAGTGCTTTGATTTAGGCCGTAAATGATTGTTTCAGGGAAAGATGCGGGGTACAGCAGCAATGAAATATGAAGTTATGTAATATAAAATCTTTTGAGTGCTGTAGAGATTTGTTTAGATTTTTTAATGAATATCACTGCTCCGCTATATTCATAGCCGGATTTCCTACAGTGTCAAAATTGTGCCGACGGTAGGCTGTTTAAAGGTAAAAGGGGTTTAAAAATACATATTAAACGATGCCATTGTAAAAGTATTTCGGCTATCGTAGAAATTCATAACTCTACTAGCAATTCAACTAATAACACAACTTTCCCTTTTTTTCGGAGCAAATTTACAATTATCATCGTAATGTACCAGTGGTTAAAAGAATTCCTAGAGGTGCGAGGATGCAGCTTGCTAAAGCATTGTCATGCACTAGTCAAAATTGTTTCACAAATAGTGAAAATAGTAGGCAAAAATTATTTACTTTCGCATATTCCCATTTTCATTTTGATAAAACAATAAATAAATCAATTACGTCTCAACTAAAAGAAACATCTTTTCAAAATTTAGATTACCCAATTAATACTCTTTTATCTCAACCACGGCCTAAATTTGATTTGTCGGTGTTCAGCAGGATGAACCACTAGGTCCAGCACTTTTCAGTTTGGGAATTCAACCCATTATTTCAAATTTGAAATCCAAGCTGAATGTCTGGTATCTGGACGACGGTACACTGGGAGGTAGAGCAGATGACGTCCTCAGAGATCTTACTCATATTTTTCGAAATTTTAAAAATATTGGTCTTGAACCAAATAGCAATAAATGTGAAATATTTTTTTCCAATAATTTATCTACTTCTCATAAAGAGAGTTTAATTCAAAATTTCTATACCTGCTAGGTGCCACGTTGTTTTTCGATAGTATTAAAATTATATTTAACGTGGTAGAGCCATGCTGCAGCTATATTAGTAGTATAGTTGTAGTACGAATGGGTCGGCTCGCCCGGGGAAGGACCACGCTCTCACAGAAAACCAGCGTAAAATAGCAGCTTAACGCTGCTGTGTTTCGTATGCTAAGTGTAGAGAACCGGAGACCCTTTTTACTGGCAAAGAGGCATTCCATCTTAGTCCTCACGGGTGACAACGCATCTGCATCTTGAGTCTTTATTGAGGATAGATGTAGATGTCTATGGGCTACAGCAACCACTTACCATCAGGTGGACTGTGTGCTCGTTTGTTACCCTATACTATAAAAAAAAACCTGTTTTAAAAACAAAATTTGATCAGTTTTTAAACCACGTTGATAAATTATATAAATTAAACCCCCACATAGCTCTTACTATTTTAAAATATTGTCTCCTTGTACCTAGATTTACATACTTACTTCGCTCGAGTCCAGTCTGGAAATTTTCGGATATTTTAAAAGATATTGTTAATAATCTTAAAATAGCTATAGAAAAAATTCTAAATTTAACTTTAAATACAACAGCCTGGACTCAAGCTACTTTACCTATAAAATTTGGTGGCATTGGTGTGAGAAATCTTTCTAGCGTTGCATTGCCTACTTTCCTTGCTTCCGTGCATAGTGTCAGTGACTTATGTAACATAATTTTAAATAATAAAGTAGACCTATACTTTGCTACGGAGGCAGGGCAGACATGGCAAACGCTCTGTCCCGGTGAAAATGTTCAACTGGAAATTAACCAACAAAAATAGTGGGATATTCCGTTGGTACGGGGCGTGCAGAAAGATTTGTTTTATAATTTCCATAGTGACCAAGATAAGCCACGCCTTTTAGCTGTTTCGACCAAGGAATCTAGTCACTGGCTACACGCTTTACCATCAAGTAATCTCGGCACATTACTTGATGGAGAAAGCTTGTGTATTGCCGTAGGAATCCGACTAGGAGCGGCGCTTTGTCAACCCCATTAGTGCCCCTGTGGTAGCAGCGTCGATAAGTTTGGGCTCCACGGACTTTCATGTAAGAAAAGCGCTGGTAAGTTTTCACGACACAGTTCTTTAAACGATGTCATCCGAAGGGCTCTTGTCTCTATAAATGTTCCCTCGGTTTTAGAGCCATGTGGAATATTTAGAGACGATGGCAGGAGACCTGACGGTATGACATTGGTCCCTTGGGAGAGAGGTAAAGCCCTAGTGTGGGATGCTACTTGCGTAGACACTCTGGCGGCCTCTCATCTCAGGGGTACCTCGTTTAGAGCCGGGGCGGCATCAGAGGCAGCTGAACTGAGTAAGTGGCGCAAATATGACTCTCTGAGAGATGACTACATATTTGTACCATTTGCTGTAGAGACTATCGGTCCGTGGGGTCCACGTGCGGTGAAGTTCTTAAAGGAACTCCATCTGCGGCTGGTCGTTGCTGCTGGTGATAAGAGGGCTGGTTCTTTTCTCGCTCAAAGGCTAGGTATAGCCATTCAGCGGGGAAACGCGGCCAGCGTTCTTGGCACGATACCGCGGGGAGTAGGACTATATGATAATTAAGTTTCCACCATAAAATAAAATAATTTTATTTATATGTCGTTTTTCTTTTCTTTACGCTGCACTTGGTGCTACCTCAGCTCAGCGAGCGACTTAAAATTCCATGAGTGCAGTTCTACTCGTCATAATAATAAATATATACTTGCCTTTAATTAAAATTCGATATTTTAAATATTCACAGTACCTTATCTGCAAATTGTATTTCTCTCATTCATCTCAATGTACGAGTATCTCCGAACATATTGACGCTAATTTAATTAATATACCTTGTTTAATGTCCTCGTTAAAAGTAAAAGAAGTAGAGCCTAGAAAGAGACATTACAGGGCATAAGGTCTCCTCTCATTACTAAAAGAAGATTTTGGAGCAGGGTAGATTAAAATAGATTAGAATATAATATTTTTATTCAATTTTCTTTTCTCGCCCAAAGGATAAGTATAGTCATTCAGCGAGTAAAAACAGCTAGCGTTCTTGGCACGATACCACGGGGATTGACTGGTTGATAATTAAGTTATTAGCTGTAGTTTTTTTAGTATAGATTTTTAATATTGTAAATATTAATCAATTTGTATAAGATTTATATGTAATTTATATTGAATTAAAATTTAAACACAAAATTCAATATAGACATAGATTATAAAGTAGATACTTCAACATCGACGTAGTTTTTTTTTTACTTTTATCACTGGTTCTGAAGAATTATCTTTGGAGATTTTGACAAGGAAGTCTGCTGTGGTGCTTATGCGTGATGCTGCATTACATACGACCTCGAAATTTTTGTAACTTTCTGAATCTATTTAAAAACTAGAGTCCTACCACCGGTTTTCAACTTTAACTAAGTTGCAAGTTGGCTCTCACGTAGAAAAGTTTTATCATATTTGGGCTGTGGCACCTTAGTGCCAGCTACTTCCACTTGACCGCATTAGCGGAAGAGTGGCACCAATTTTCGATAAATTGCGAGCAATGAGTGGCGATCGTCACTTAGTCGCATGCTCGTATAAAATACAATAATGTAATATCAACAGTTAAAAGCCAAAATGATTTAAGCGAAATTTTTACAAGTTTACAGGCAAATTTTACCTCTAGACAAAAATATCATGTCTAAAAAAGCAGTCAATTATTATTTTTAGAGAAAAGTACCAGTAACTGTTTTAATTTTTGAATCTTTCCGATTTTATTAAAAATAACGAATTAAAATTTAGTATTAAAATAAATGTTTCTTGATGTTTTTCAGTTTGTCCTTTGTTTTTTTTTAGAATAATTTTTTTAAATAAAACTAATTTTACGGATTTTATCGCGTATATTAACTTATTTTTATATTCCCGACGTTTCGGGTGCTTTCCAGCACCCGTGGTCACGGGGGACTGAGTTGTTTGACGTCCTACTGTCATAGTTAGCCCGGCTACCTTCAGTTTTTTAATATTAATTTTTGGTTCGATTCGAATCGAATCTTTCCAAAAATAAATCTTTTATTCCATCTTTTTTTTATTTGGTCACAAATGGAATGTAACGTTTACATGGTTCAGGTAATATAATAAAGTAACAAGCAAACGTTCATTCCAGTGAACACAGCATGCAACAAGTGGACATTTTTCTAAACTTCCCAGAAATTTAGTTTATGCGCTGAAAATTTGAGATAAATATTTTGGATTACAAGTATTTATATATTATTTACCCAACTGTCCCAGAAGGAGGTTAATATTTTTCGAGAGTACGTATGTACTTGTATGTATGTCTATTTCTTTGGCACGCTCTGTAGCCTAAAGGGCTTGAAGGATTTTAACATATGAGATGTCGTTAGATTCGTCTGACATAGATGTATAAAACTTTTCTCTCTTCAGTAAACTTTTTTACGCAGTCGGGTTTTCAATTACTATTTTAACCTTAGAACTTGTTTATGTCAATATCGCTTAGACTATCGCTTAAACCAGTTTGCCTCTTACCCAACTATATGAAGGAAATTATCATTTTTATCACAAAAATTACTCAACGTTATTGTAAATAGGTAAAATTAATCTTTTTAATCTTATCACATATTACGAAATCAAATATATATCGAGAAATAGCCACTTGCTATAATTACCAAGTGAGACCTATCTCGGTGCAATCTATTAAAATTTATTAAATAAAATGGCATTTTATGGAAAAGTTTTTGCTGTTGAGAAGGACGAAAACTACGAGGCATTCGTCAAATCGATGGGTATGTGTTAACAAGCTATTAATTTACTTGTTTACCAGACCGTAGAAGTTTCGTCGTCGTATTCTTGCCTTATTTCTTATACAATAAGAGTGACAAACGAGCATACAGTTAACCTGATGGTAAGTGGATGCTATGGTCCATAGACATCTACATATACCCTCGATTAAGAATCAAAATGTAGATACTTTATCACCCATGAGGACTAAGATGGTATGCCCCATTTCTAGTTAAAAGGTTCTCCAGTTCTTTATATTCACCGTACGAAACACAACAGCATTAGTATTTTACGTTGGTATTATGAGAGAGCGTTCCTATCCCGGATTATTTGATGGACTTATCAGCACTTACAATAACGTGGGATTGTATCACATATGGTAGGAATATCAGTCGCAACACTGGTAGTCTCTCACCTTTGACGTTGCTCCCTTTCGTCGGTATTGGCTTTTTACGTCTAGCGTAAGATAAATAGTTATATATAAATTATATATAAATAGTTATATATAGTCGCTCTTACGATACCAACGGGACAAAAAGTGCTATATTTGGGCAGGGCCATGCATAGAATACCAGCGTGACCCAACCGATAACGAGACCAATGGAATATTTTAGCTCTTAGGGCTGACAATGCATTTATATAATAATACTTAACCGATAAACTTTGACTTAATATTTTTTTTATAGGATAAGGGTGACAAACGAGCACACAGTCCACCTGATGGTAAGTGGTTGCTGTGGCCCATAGACATCTACATCTATCTTCGATTACGAATCAAAATGCAGATGCGTTGTCACCCGTGAGGACTAAGATGGAATGCCTCGGTTCCAGTGACAAGGGTCTCCGGTTCTCTACACTCACCATACGAAACACAGCAGCGTTAAGCTGCTATTTTACGCTGGTATTCTGTGAGAGCGTGGTCCTTCCCCGGTCGAGCCGACACATTCGTGCTACAACCATAATATAGCTGCAGCATGGCTCTACCAGTACCAGTATAGTATATAATATATGCTATTATATATAATATATTATATAATATATGCTATAATATAGTATATATATATATATATATATATATATATATATATATAATATGCTATTTCACCATAGGACTGAAAATAAAATAGACAGATAATGATAATATTATATTCTTTATCGCAGAACGATGAACAATAGTGAAGCACAATTAAAGACCATAACTTTAAACTGCGAGTAAAGGTGGTTTTAAATATATGGATATATTGATTTTCAAAAAGAAAATTTCCAAAGTGGATTGCATTTACGGGAATATTAGTAATGTTAATAGCCCGTGTAGTGGCGGGTAAGAATACACACTACCCCATATCTTCCCGTGGGTGTCGTAAGAGGCGACAGAGGGAAACTGATGCAGAAGATAGGCAGCAGCATCATTCTGATAACAGAAAAATAATAATAAAAAACTGTGGTTACCAACCCGCTCGCAAAGGGTGGCAACTATGGCAATATACCCTCCATGAATAAAGTTACGAAGCCCCGCAGTCCCCCGCGGGACCGCTATTCCTGGTTGCGGTGGCGACTATAGTAACAGCGGGGAAGGGGGTGCTAAGAATCTCCGGTGGAGGTTTGTTTACCACCTAATCCGACTCGAACTAGCAACATATAACGCACGCACTGACGAGAAGATCTGGAGCTGGAAGAAGAGATAGACAAGTTGCACTGGAATATTATAGGATTATCCGAGGTCCGAAGAGAGGGGGAGGACACGGTAATCCTCGGATCCGGCAACTTGTTCTATCACCGGGAGAGCGACCATCTGTCCCAAGGGGGTGTTGGATTTATCGTCCACAAGTCTCTCGTTAACAACGTTGTAAAGAATGGGAGTGTGTCGACGAGGGTTGCGTACCTTATACTCAGAATCACCAAACGGTTCGTTGAAGATCATACAGGTTTACGCGCCAAACTCGGCACATACCGATCAGGAGGTGGAGAAAATGTATGCAGATATATCCAGAATAATGTATTCCTCCAAAATCCACTATACGGTGTTAATGGGAGACTTCAACGCAAAACCAGGCAGAAGATGAGCTGAAGGTAGAGAAATTTGTAATAATTCAACGGAACCAAATGGGCCAGAAACTGGCTGACTTCATACAGAAAAAGGGACTTTATGATGAACTCTTTCTTCCAGAAGCAGCCCGACAAAGATGAGATTGACTAGACAGCAACTGTTCAGTGTTGTTTCAGTGATCGCGAGGGCGAAAACAGGCAACGATCACCAAACGGTGAGAGACACACTGAACTTAAACGTTAAGTTGGAGAGGTCACGTCTAATGAAGTCAACGCTCCGTCCCCCTCGTGCTCTAATCCAAAGTTCCCTGAAAGCGGGTTGAAAATCGGTACTTGAGTACTGTTTTCGAGAGTCATTATGAATCATCTTGCACGCAGACTCGACGACTTCCAGCCTCCCGAACAAGCCGGTTTCCGAAAAGGCTTTTGCACCATAAACCACATACACACCCTTCGGCAAATTTTACAGAAGTCCTAGGAGTACAATTTGCCACTAAGGCTGGTGTATCTGGTGGATTATGAGAAAGCCTTTGATTCCGTCGAAATTTGGGCGGTGCTGCAGTCCTCGTCTCCTGCTGCGGTGCCAAGTTGACTGTCGATATATTGAAGTGCTGAAGTGTTTGTACAGTAGGGCTACGATAGCATCCGAGTACAGAACGAGAGTACAAAATCTATTTAACTGTAGAGAAGCGTAAAATAGGGTGACGTTATATCCCCGATACTCTTCACCACTGCATTGGAAGACATTTTCAAGCTACTGGACTGGAAAGGATACGGTATTATCATCAACGGCGAGTACATCACTCACCTTCTATTTGCCCACGATATGGCAGAATCGCTGAGGGACCTAAGCACTAAGCTCAATGCCCTCAATAGTGCCTACCAACGGATAGGTCATAAGATGAACATGGAGAAAACAAAGACCTCACACCACACACCTATTCCGGTAGTTGTTGGGAGCACTGGGACAAATAGTGCAATTAGGTTAGTCCAACTTCGATCGAGAGGTCAATTGACGGATTCAACTCGGCTGGGTAGCGTTCGGGAAATTACGACACATATTCTCGTCAGGTATACCTCAAAACTTAAAAATGAGATTGTACAACCAGTGCGTGTTCCCAATGATGACTTATAGATCTGAGAGATGGTTCTTCACTGCTGGCCGTATGAGGAAGCTCAAGGTCGCTTAGCGACCTATGGACAGGACTATGGGATCGGGATTTCTCTGCGTGATAAACTTAGAAATGAGGATATCCGCAGTAGAACCAGAGTGACCGACATAGCCCAAAGCTGAAGTGGCAATGGGCCGGCCATATAGCTCGAAGAACCGACAACCGATGGTGTAAAAACTTGATGAAGTGACGACAACGTAAAACATGCAGGAAGTCGATGGATGCAGGTGACTCAGAACCGTGCTTTGTGGCATTTCTTGGGGGAGGCCTATGTTCAGCTGTGGACTTGTGAAAGGCTGTAATGATGATTATGATGACATGCTAGAGTTTATGTAGACTGGTAATTGATAATAAAAATTGTGTTACAGCTGTGGTCACGCGGACACCGGCTGGGCGGTGTCCGCGGACATGCAGTTGTATTTTCATTTACGACAGTTACTGGTTTAAGGTAAATATGAAATAAAGGTGCATCCTTATCTGAAATAAACTTCAAATCACGTTTAAAAAATACGCATATAAATAATGACAGTGTTTTCTTAGTCAAATTTAATAAAATCAATGTTAGATTGTCGAAAACAACGTCCGCGGCTTACAAAACAAAGAACTAGTCTTTTCGGCCGCTCGCAGTCGACTAAAGAAGTTTATGAGTATTGACCGTAACTTAGTGCGCAATGTATTTAGTATTGTAGTATAGTATATATAAAACTCTAAACATAAAACTATAAAACACTACTACACGTTCAGGTGTATGTATATTGTATATGATTTTTCTCGTCTTATTAAAGTGATAAATTTTCAAACATTTCCATTCAGTTTTTTTTTAATTATCCCTTGATAAAAATAACTATGAAAACCTGAAAGTTTCTTATGTTTTTAACTTCAATTTGCTGCCATGGTGTAGTAAATACAACATATTATTTTTGGTTACATATATAATACCATAGTATTATACATGTACAGTACATTGCAGTTTTTATAGTTACAATGTTAATAGATCAACATATGTGTGCAAAGACGACACCAACGGGATAATATGGGCTAGTGAATTGACTTACGTCACCACTACTCGACTTCGTTTTTGGGCAAATATAATTGGTATTGTTATGTACTTTTAATAGGAATCCCGGAAGATAAACAGAAAAACCTACTAGAATATAAACCAACTCAAAAAATTGCGAAGAATGGTGACGAATATACCGTCACTGTCGGAACGAAAAATGGTGAAAGAGTCTACAATTTTAAATCTGGCATTGAATTCGCAAGCACCATAAGAGATCAACCCGTAAGTACCTTCTGTCTTAATATCTTACTAGTTAATTTCACTAACCGTACCGTTGAATTTTTTGCTTAGATTTAAGAAGGTATGATAAAATATTACTACTTGGTTTTTTACCAAGCATGCCAAAAACATAATTGTAATAACATGTCTAACAGTTTAACTAACACATGGCACATAATAATATATATTTTTATACAGTGAGGGTGACAAAGAAGAATACAGCCCACCCGATAGTAAATTAATGCTATAGCCTAAAATTATCTATATCTATCCTCGGTTAAGAATTAAAATACATTGGCCTTACCATTCCTGGAAATGTTTACAAAACACAGCGATGTTTTTTGCTAGAATTCTGAGTGTGATTCATCTGATTGTTAGAAAATTAAATTGTTTACTTATCTTTACTAATAAAAACGCATTAAAAAGGATTACATTTGTATATTGGACGGTGTTTGCAAAATTTGTAAGTTGTGTAGAATTAAAAAAATACGAGATACAGCACAATATACTATTATATATATACGACTGATGTTTTGTGAGAAAGTGGACCTACCCTTTCTTCATTTTATATGTTAATTTTACTTTTTCAGGCAAAAATTACAGTGACTGTAGATGGAAACAAAATGACACAAGTAGTTAAATTTGATATTGGACTTACTTTAACTCTCAAGAAAGAATACACTGATGACACGCTAACCGAGGTAAAAACTTTTGGACCTTTTCTAAGAGTGTTTATACACCGCTAACTGGTAGCGGCAACAAAAATACGGCTTGTGGGTGAAAAAACAAATATGAGATTCGAACAAAAAAATTCAACCTCCCCAACCAATCAGCTGGTGGCGGCATAACCAATTCTTTTTTTGTAAAATATTTACACCGGTATTCACAGACAATTTCGGGTATGAACTCAAACTCATTCATAATGATGCCAGTAAAATTCTAATAAAATTGAAAATGATTCTTCGGTTCTTTACACTTACTATACGGAACACAATTGCATTAAGCTTCTATTTCACGCTGGTATTCTGTGAGAGCATGGTCTTCTCAAGCCGACACAATCGTGCTACAACCATAACACAGCTGCGGCGTTGCTCTACTAGGTAGAATATTACGAATAACCGATACGACTAAGGGACCTTCAAGAAAAGAACCTACTATTTTAATGTTTTGTCTAGACGATCGGGCCATTATTAACAAATTTTATATTTATATAGCCTAATTACTTATATTCTACTATTATATGGTGGTTTAAATACTATATAAAATGGTGGTTTAGTGACATAATGAAAATCACAAACTGTTCCCGATAAGTAGCGAGTTATTAATAAGTTATTTATATTTACACTGTAAAAAGTTTGGTAGGAAACTCATTGCGCCACCTACTGACAAGAACAGAACAACGTCTGGCGAACCAGCTGTTGTATAAAAAGGACGGATTAAACTCGTGCAGGCAAATTAGATGGGAAAGTCTCAGTGAAGACTTAGGGGTCACAATTGAACTTAACACAAGTAATCTAACGGAATGGCTACATGTGTGCGCAGTATATATCCCTCCACCAGTTGATCGTAACACATTAGAAACATTTATTAATAATACTACGGATACCATAAATAATAATAATTTAGGCACGGCTAACAACTCAATTTTGCTGCTTGGTGACTTCAATATGAGTTCTATCACATGGGCACTTCAACCCGTCATTAACGGTCAGTACGCATACCCAAGTAACTACTCTAACTGTCTTCTTAAAAGTAGCTTAATAGATTTTTTCACTTTGCACGATCTGAATCAATATAACACTAACAAAAACGCAAGCGGAAAGATACTAGATCTAGTTTTGTCTAATGTAAACATCAATGTGGTCGAAAGTCAGTATCCTATACGCAACGTAGACATTTTACATCCACCATTAGAATTTTTCTTTAAAATCAAGGTATCAATTAATTTCCCCGCAACTAAGAATAAATCTTTCCACAATTTTGAAAGAGCAGATTTTGATTCCATTATAGCATTCTTAAACAATATTGATTGGCTACAAAATTTAGGCGTACTAAATAATGTAAATGAAATGATATCGAAATTCTACGAAATCCTACAGGTAGCAATAGACAGATTCGTCCCCAAATCGTACAAATCTTCAAAAGATTTGTACGATTTGGGGACGAATCTGTCTATTCTATCTTATCCTATCTGGTTCACACCCGCTCTAATTAAACTCATCAAACGGAAACACAAATATCATAATAAAATTAAACTGTTTAATAATCCATTAGATAAAATTGAATTCTCTTACCTAAGGAAGGATTGCGATAAACTAATAAAACAATGTTATTATAATTATATTGAACACATTGAGGAAGCTATTAGCAATAATACGAGGTATTTTTGGACACATATGAAGAACATGCGTCGTAAAGGCTCAAATTATCCTAATAAAATGTCTCTGAATGATCGTGATGCAAATAGTAGGCAAGAAATATGTGATATGTTTGCTAGTCATTTCTCATCGGTTTTTATTAAGGATGATATTAATAAAAATTTTGACACACAATCAGTCTCCAAAACAAAAAAATATATAGGCAATATTTACGTATCTAAACGAGAAATTGAGAAAAGGCTGAAAAGATTAGATACATCAAAAAGTGCTGGTCCAGACGGTATTCCGCCTATATTTATATATAGGTGTGCAAATTCTTTGGCTGCTCCGTTAACTATTATATTCAATACCTCCTTGAGCTTTGGCATTTTCCCCGATAAATGGAAAGAAGCGCGGATTGTACCAATTTTTAAAAGTGAAAATCCTACGAATGTTACTAATTATAGACCTATATCCATTTTATCTACAATGTCAAAGGTCTTTGAGATCTTAGTTTATGAATCATTTTTCAAGAATCTAGGACGACGTATAAACTGGCAGCAACATGGTTTTCTGTCTGGTAGATTTACTGTCACAAATCTGTTCTTATATGTCACCGATTTAATTGAGAACATTGATAATAAACTACAAGTGGATGCTATATACACAGACTTCTCCAAGGCATTTGACAAAGTAAATCACGCACTACTTGTCAATAAACTGAGAGCTTTTGGTATTAATGGGACATTATTAAACTGGTGTGCATCATACCTTCAAAGTAGATCTTCGAACGTGGTGATTGATGGGTACTCCTCGCAGCCATATATTGCCTACTCCGGTGTACCGCAAGGCTCGAACTTAGGTCCAGTATTTTTTAACATCTATATAAACGACATTGTTTCGATATTTCAATACTCTAAAGTCTACCTATTTGCTGATGATCTCAAAATAGTTAAAACTATTAGAAGCAACACTGACGTCGAATTACTACAAGATGATCTCAACAGCCTTATCCAATGGTTTAATAACAACCAAATGTTTTTGAATGCCAAAAAATGTCAACTCGTTAGGTTTACCAGAAAACATAATTATATACAGAGTCAATACTATATTGATACTGAGAAACTAATTGCAGTTCGAGCAATACGTGATTTAGGCGTTATACTAGATAGCGAATTAAAATTTACAAACCATTTCGATAACATAATCACCTCAGCTACTAAGTCACTGGGTTTTGTATTGAGGAATTCCAAAGAGTTCAAGCAGCCTTCTACTACAATCAAACTTTACAGTAGTCTGGTTAGAAGTAAACTAGAATACTGCAGTCAAATTTGGAATCCGCACTACAAAATCCATAGCATTAGAATCGAAAGAATACAAAAGCGACTGCTGCGTCATCTTGCGTACCGTTCGAATAGCTATCAAACTAATGATTCCTACGAAACACAGTTGGCACAATTTAACATCACATCACTACAATCGCGTAGAAGTATCTCAGACATGATGTTTCTATACAAAACGCTCAATAATAGTATTGATTGTCCAGCAATAGTTCAATTATTTAACTTTAAGGTGCCATCAAGAATGCCTAGAAATCCGCACGCCTTTTTTAATGTATCCCTTTATAGGTCTAACTTGGGAAAGTATTCCCCTCTAGCCAGACTGGCTCGCACTTATAACGAACTGTCCTCGAAGATTTCTGGCCTCGATATTAATTGCGATAGTTTATCCACCTTCAAATCAAAATTAATCAATTTGTATGAATTAACGAATTAACTAATTATTAATTGTAACATTGGAATTGTTTTTGATTTTTATAGTTTGATTAATATAATATAATATGACAATGAAGATATTTATAATATTGTCAAATAATTCTATTTCTTTATAATAATTTGTATTTGTTCAATGATGTAATTCAGTTTTTATTCCTTACAAAATAATCAATGCATGTTGTGATTACCCATAAAAAGAAATACAATTATAATGTGTTAAATTTTTTTAAGAAAATAATCTTTGTATTACTGTTGTAATTTCTGTTGGTAATCCTAATAAATAAATAAATAAATAAATAAATAAATAAATAAAACAACAAAATATTTTTGATACTATCTCTTTTTACCAGTACAAAAAAAGAAACACTGACTACAATTGATACGATTAACATTTAACTTTTTAGGAAATCAGTCACAATGGATGGGACGGTGTTGCTCGAAGGTTCTACAAAGCACAGTGAATGTATTCCAATGTTTTTCTTCCTGGACAGACCCTTCGTGTCTCGATACTACTTTTTAGTGTGTGCAATCAATTTTACTGAATTTGTGATAAGAGTTGAAAATTGTTTTATCTATTTCAAGACACAAATTGACCAAAATTAGTTACATTGTAAGCCCTTGTGTTTTAATTAATTCTATTTATATTAAGTAATATCAAATAAGTATTAAATAATTGAGGTTTAGTATTTTACTTGACTATATTTCCTGATACACAATACAGTTGGAAACTAATCAATTTATAATAAACAATAGCTTATTTTGTATTTCCTATATCTATACTCTATATCCTCTTACCAGCTCCTACCACTTCACCACATTCAATGGAGAACGAGTCGAATCGTCGACGACTAAATCAGTTCTTTCCGATCGTGACGGTGCATCTCTGCATTTTCTATCGCATATACCACAAGGGAATGCTCCGAATGTTCGAATTAATACACCAGCTTCATAATTCCACCATAGGCTCTCCTTTAAATTATCTACACAAAGTCAGCACTTTCAAATTATTAATGTTTTATTGACCTAGTTTGAAGAGCCCCTCCCGCCCTCCCTCGATTGCGTGCACTATCCCCGTCACCACTAATCCCAGCACCACTACTCCCAACACCACTACTCCCAACACCACTACAACTAGTATGTAAGACAAATCATTTTTATTTTATCGAGCGAATATAAGCGAGATAATTGTTACCAACTTTAATGTTTGATTGGTCTAAGTCTCGAAAACACGTAGTTTTAAGAAAATAAAGAACCAAATTAAGCTGGGTCCACACTTGTATCACACTTGTGTATCATGGATTTAAAAGTCTGGCATATCGTATCGAGTATTTGTGGACGCCCATTTTGACTATGTTCCAGGTATATCCTGTCTCTCACCGTTGCATGCCCACAGTCATGCCATAAACCACGTCCACACTTACGATACTGTATCTTATCAGCGAGTCACCAACGCGTGTCGTCCGTCAAGTGTAGCCGCTCAATTTTTGCCACGTTCCTCGTATCCAAATCTTGTCTAGATCATGTATCGGCATTGCGTATCCCCTTTGATGATCGGGAAAAAACCGCTTCAAGATGGATGGATGGATCGCGATGTATCATGTATCCACACTAGCGAAAATAATACACGTCGATGCCACGCATCGGAGATCTGATACACTAAAATGGTACAAGTGTGGACCCCGCTTTACGATTTTCTTCAATAATATTGCCCGTTTGATGTATTTAAGCGTACATAATATTTGACATTTTTGTTTGAGCAAGTTGTGTTATGGTTTTATAAAATTAAAATTTTATTTTTGTACTTTACAATTAAAATTAAAAATAACTATTATTGCATTAGTTATAAAATATAATACTAATGTTATAGTCAAAACTATTTCCGATGAAAACAGTTAAAAGTATTTTGACTAAACATTTTTAACTTCCCGATATTGAAATCAATGATTTTCAAAAAATCGGGAACTTATTGGTTTCAGTTTTCAAGGGTTGAGGTCCTAGGAAGCTATTCTGACTATTCCTACGAGTATGTCACGTGTGCGAGTGCGTGTGCGTGTGCGTGTGCGTCTGCGTGTGCGTGTACGTGTGCGTGTGCGTGTGCGTGAGCGTGTGCGTGGGCGTGTGTGTGTGCGTGTGCGTGTGCGTGTGCGTGTGCGTGAGCGTGTGCGTGAGCGTGTGCGTGTGCGCGTCCGTATACGTGAGCGCGTGCGCGTGCGCGTGCTCGTGCGCGTGCGTGTGCGTGTGCGTGTACAGACGTGCGTGCGTGCGTGCGCGCGCGCGCGCGCGCGCGTCGGTGAGTGTGTTTGTGTGTGCGTGTGTGTGTGAGAATATATATAACCCTCTCACAACTTTTGAATGGCTTTACGGATTGAACGAACTCGGCGGCGTTTGAAAAATATTTTTTTTTTAAATAACTTTTAAAGAGATATAACTATCAATTCTAAAATCTACTCAGCTCTTAAACTCAAAAAACGCCGTCGATTGCTGCAAACCGCATCAAAATCAGTTAATGCGTTGAAGAGAGAATTTTGAAGCGCTTTGCATTTGAAATTAATCCCAGGAAGTTCCAGGGATGGTCTGTAGAGTCAATCGTATTTTTTGGCAAAAGTTTTGACTGAAAAATATTGGTGAAAACAAATTTAGAAAATAATATGTTGGCTAAAAGTAATAATAATCAAGACTAGTAGTTAAAATTACCTATGATCAGGAATATTTAGTAAAAATAAAACAGGTTGCTATTATTTTTACAATGGCAATCGGTTTAAGAACAAAGTAGTTTTTTCTTGACCAAGCTTCTTAGTTTTTCGCAAGCGAGAAATACTAGATCATAGACATGTATGTACTTGATCCTGTTGAGAAAAGTAATATCAGCGACCGTAAGATGCAGTTATGTGACCCTTGGGCCACCCCTTAGCCGCGAAGATCGGAATCATGCTGACCGTCTTAGGCAAAACTCGTTTAGCCTAGGAAAAACTAAATTGTCCTTAAAACCGAGTTTGTCCGGTAACAAAGTGCTTTAGACTGCAGATTTGCTCAACATTTGTTTTGACGGTAAATTAAATTTAAAAAATATGCATTTTAGAAAGAGGGTTGTGACACGGGTGCTCCTTCCCTTCTCCTACTTCTATTTCACAATAACTTAAAATAAAAATAAAATTGTACAACCGACTTCAATATAAGTTATTAGTTTTAACTCAAAAACTATTGGTGAAACCAAATTTATGATCAAATTTATATGGAACTACATGAGAAGCACCAACTTTCAAATAAAAAAAGAATCATCGAAATCGGTTCATCTAGAAAGGTTATGAAATAATACACATAAAAAAGAACATACATTCCAATTGAGTACCTCCTCCTTCTAGAATTTGGTAGAAAAGTTGAACTAAAATGATTCAAAATGCTACTTCATTACGAAATTTTCAAAATTCATAAAAAAAATATATGTATTTCAGGATGCCAGCAAGGTATTCTTTTCAACCCTTCTCTCCCCCACCCAACCTCCCATTTCAATATTAAAGCCTAGTTAATCTAAAATCCTTCCTCACAATCGTAGACTTTGACAGAATTGTAAAGTCCATCCACATCATCTCGATGGTCGACAGTATTACCTATCTACTAATATTAATCACTACCGTCATTTTCCTTATCTATCGTATCAAAATTAATATATTTTATTTTAATTTGACATACTTCATCATTTTTTATTCTTAATTATTCACAATTACCTACAATACTTGCATATTTTAGTTAAAGGGTTTCAAATGGCGCGGGTATATTTTGTAGGCCCGTGGCGACCATTTTGCTTTGGTGATAACTATCAAATCTTTTGTTTATTATTCAGTTACTTATGCCAAATCACCATGGCAAGTTAAGATTAGAATTTTTGTAATATAGATTGAACAGCTCTTTCAAATAATAAAACTTTATTATCAAAATTAGAGTTTGTTAGTGCATTTTTCAAACATTGCGCCCATTTTACGGTAGACGTGGTGGCCTTTCACAGTCGAGTCTTCATCGTTTAGAGGCCAAATTTGAAACAACCGGTTCGGTTAACAATCAGCCAACACCCATACGTTCAAGGAATGCAAGATCAGCCGAGAACATCGTCGCGGTTCGTGAAAGTGTACATTAGAACGCTAGTCAGTCGGTTTCTCGCCATGCACAAGAACTCGGCCTTTCTCAGACTTCAACTTGGCGAATTTTGCGTCGGGACTTAGGCCCACGTTCAAGCCATGAAAACAGGGAAAAGTGGAATAAAGTCGTCCATTTTTTACTCTTATTTTAATCTAAATAAATATATTCGCAAATTAAATGTTATATCAATAAGATTTATTAAACATACATCTAGTATGTTTTTTTTATATTTTACATCGTTACCTTTTAAAATAGTCAAATAAAAATATAATTAAAATGTAATTCTGATATAATATTATGTAATATTATATTAAATTAGCACATACTATATGCAAAATAAATGACAAATTTTAAAAATTGTACTCGATATAATTTATATAATTAACAATACTATTTATTATTACATACTGATCATTGTGCCTACGTATAATCTATGATAAAACCAACCGCGCATGCGCCATACTACTTACCTACTCATCACTGCCCATGCTGAGCACATGTGGGCCTTCAAATAAAGAAAGAATTTTGTTAATAACTTACACACAGCTTGTTTTATTTCATTTTAACATCTACCCGCCCTTATTGAAAAAACCTTTATAATATCATAGTGTATTTAACAACGTTACATCAGTCCTTATATTTACTTGTATAATCAATACCTTATCGTTATCGGAATGCCGTTGACAACTCAGATCTCATACCACACATTAACGTCTAACCGGCATCATCTTCATCATTACAACCCTTCGCAAATCCACTGCGGATCATAGACACATAAATAAAAAAATTACTCATCTATATTCATATAAATAAAATTGGAATAACTGCCTTGTATGATCATTACCATTTTTTAAATTTTGACTGTCTGTCTGTCCGGTCTAATCTTCGGAATGGCTGAACCAACTGTAATGAAATTTCTTGAACAGAACAAGGCCAGAAGCAATCCTAACTATATTTGAAGAAAGAAATAACGACACATTAATAATAATATCCTTCTCATGCGAAGTCGGCACGGGTCGCTAAAAACATATTGCCCGTCACGAGACTTCCGGCTGATGTAAAACATGATAGTTGATGGTAGAATTTATAATTAATGAAAACTAAGAAAGAAATATGGTGTAAAATAAATTAAGGAAAGAGAGAACGGCACACGCAGTACACAACTCACACAGAGTAGCAACGAAGTATATACGCGCACGCACATACAAGGTATTCGAGTGCGGTTAGCGGTGCCATGGCGTAGAGGAGGCGTGACGGCATATGCGATCGTCATGCCGTTTGCCGTCATGGCATACGAGTAGGTTTTACTGCCAAGGTACGCCAATAG